GCCTGGGCTGCCTGCCCCACCCTGTAGACCCCACGTCCTGTGAAGAAAATGGAGTTCCCCAACCCCGTTCCCGAGTCCTTGGCTATCTTCTCTGACCACTGAGCCTGGTGACTCACCCATCTGGGACGCCCCCCCCCCCCCCCCACCGCAGACCCTGAGGCCACATCCTTGGTCCCTCTCTCCCAGGCCTCCCCTCATCTCTGACCCCCCACACCCCCCTGGCGGCACCCTCGTCACCCTCGTGCCCGCCTTGTTCTCCCAGCGCTGTCTGTGCTGTTTGCTGAGGAGCCGGGCCTGGTGCTGGAGGTGCAGGAGCCAGACCTGGCCCAGGTGCTGGAGCGCTACCAGGCGGCCGGCCTCCGCTGCCTGGAGCTGGGTCCCACGGGCGACGCCGGGCCCCACGCCCTGGTGAGGAAGGGCAGGGCGGTGCACAGCGGGGAGGCCGTGGCTCGCCTGTGCCAGCCGGGGGGGCGGGGCGGGGAGCCCAGGCCGGACACCCTCGCTCTTGGCCCTGATTGGCGTGCCCCTCCCTCTAGGTGCGAGTGTCCGTGAACGGGGCCGTGGTCCTGGAGGAGCCTGTTGGGCAGCTACGAGCCGTCTGGGAGGAGACGAGTTTCCAGCTGGACCGGCTGCAGGCAGAGCCGCACTGTGTGGCCGAGGAAGAACAGGGGCTGAGGGAGCGGACGGGGCCCAGCTACTGCCTGCCCCCAACCTTCCCCAAAGCACCCGTGCCCCACGAGCCTGGTGAGGGACTCTGGGCCGTCTGGGCTTCCCCGACCCTCAGCCTGGGGTTGCAACCCAAGGCCTGGATGCCGGGGCCTGCCCAGGAAAAGGTGTCCGGTGGCAGGGGCGGGTGGTTTGTGGTAGGGAAGGAGCCCTCTGGCCCAGAGACACTCCGCCTCCCCCAGGTGGTCCCGTGCCCCGCGTTGCCATCTTGCGAGAGGAGGGCAGTAATGGAGACCGCGAGATGGCAGATGCCTTCCACTTGGCCGGGTTTGAGGTGAGCGGGGTGGCCGGCAGAGCTGGGGCCGGGGCTGGGCCTCGGGCTGTGTGTCCTCCTATACTTCTCCTGCCTGTCCTGCCAGGTGTGGGACGTGACCATGCAGGACCTGTGCTCGGGGGCAATCGGTCTGGACACGTTCCGTGGTGTGGCCTTCGTGGGCGGCTTCAGCTTTGCGGATGTCCTGGGCTCTGCCAAAGGTAGGTGCCGGGCGTCTGCTCGCTCCCTCCGCTGCACGTTCTGCGGAGCTGCCTCGGCCCCCCTCTTCCTGACCGGGAGTTGGCCTCTCACCTCCGCAGGGCTGGGGCTGGGGAGGACATTCACTCTGGGCCGGGTGCCCGCAGCGGGCCCGTGGGTAACTGACGTGAGGCGGGGTGGCTGGGTGGCACGGACCGCGTCTAAAGGGGTGGCAAGCACACAGCGCCAGCACATTGTGCTCTCGGAAGGCAGGTTCAGTGTGGCCAGATCTTTCTGGTTTCTGAGAGAAGCCAAGAATCCAGATTGGTTGTTTTTTTTTTTTTTTTAAGATTTTATTTATTTATTTGAGAGAGAGAGAATGAAAGACAGAGAGCATGAGAGGGAGGAGGGTTAGAGGGAGAAGCAGACTCCCTGCCGAGCAGGGAGCCCGATGCGGGACTCGATCCCGGGACTCCAGGATCATGACCTGAGCCGAAGGCAGTCGCTTAACCAACTGAGCCACCCAGGCGCCCCCAGATTGGTTTTTTTTTAATGGTTCTTTTTTTTCTTTTTTTAAGAATTTATTTGAGAGAGCGAGCAAGCGAGAGGACCACAAACAGGGGGAGGGGCAGAGGGAGAAGCAGGCTTCCCGCTGAGCAGGGAGCCCGAGGCGGGGCTCGATCCCAGGACCCTGGGATCATGACCTGAGCTGAAGGCAGATGCTTGACGGACTGGGGTGCCGCCAAATCCAGATTTTTATATGAAGTCTTATTTTTATTTTTTTATTATTTATTTATTTATTTTAAAGATTTTATTTATTTATTTGAAAGAGAGAGACACAGCAAGAGAGGGAACACAAGCAGGGGGAGTGGGAGAGGGAGAAGCAGGCTTCCCGCGGGCTCGATCCCAGGACCCCGGGATCATGACCTGAGCCGAAGGCAGACGCTTAACCGACTGAGCCACCCAGGCGCCCCTGAAGTCTTATTTTTAAACGTCAGTTAAATAAAAAGTGTTGAAAATGCTCTGCTGGCCAAGCCAAAAAACTTACGGGCCACCTCTGGTCCAGGAATGGCAACATTTAAGCAGATAAACCTGTTTCTTCCCTTTGTATTTGCCCTGTAGGGGGTATGTGTGCGCACGTATGTATGTGTGTGCATGTGTGTTGGGGGCTGGGGGGCTCATGGCAGGTGGAACCGGGCGGGCTGGCACAGGAGGGCGGCCGTCCCCCTCCATGCCAGCCCACCCTGACGTCCCTGTGTCCTCCTAGGGTGGGCAGCTGCCGTGACCTTCCACCCGCTGGCCGGGGCCGAGCTGAGGCGCTTCCGGCGGCGGCCGGACACCTTCAGCCTGGGCGTGTGTAATGGCTGTCAGCTGCTGGCTCTGCTGGGCTGGGTGGGAGGCAGCCCCAGCGAGGAGGCCGAGGAGCCGGGCCCGGACCCCTGGCCCGCCCCACCTGGCCTCGTGCTGCGCCACAATCTGTCCGGGCGCTTCGAGTCCCGCTGGGCCAGCGTGCGGGTGGGGCCTGGGCCCGCCCTGATGCTGCGAGGGATGGAGGGCGCCGTGCTGCCCGTGTGGAGCGCTCACGGGGAAGGTCAGGCTCCGGAAGGCCGGCGGGAGGGCCTGGGGGCCGGCGTGGGCGGAGGCCGTGGGGGAGCTTTGCCCTCACTTCCCTCCTCCACCCCCCACCCGCCCCCCTGCAGGTTACATGGCATTTTCTTCTCCGGAACGCCAAGCCCAGATTGAGGCCAGGGGCTTGGCCCCACTGCACTGGGCCGATGATGCTGGCCAGCCCACGGAACAGTACCCCATGAATCCCAACGGGTCCCCCGGGGGGGTGGCAGGCGTCTGCTCCCTTGATGGCCGCCACCTGGCTCTCATGCCTCACCCTGAGCGGGCCGTGCGGCCGTGGCAGTGGGCTTGGCGACCTCCCCCATTTGACACCCTGACTGCCTCCCCCTGGCTCCAGCTCTTCATCAATGCCCGAAACTGGACCCGGGAAGGAGGCCGCTGAGCAGGCGGGGGAGGCTCCCCTGGGCCTGACAGTTTGTGCCCGCAGGTCTGCTGTCCTCCCCATCCTCAAACTCAGAAGCGCCCCACCTTCTCTCCAAATACGTCTTGGACAGACAAGGGCCAAAATGCCAAAAAAAACCCCAACCCTGCTGGTTTTGTTAATCTGCCTGCTTTTGCCTTATGCCATGGGATCTGTCTTTGGTTCTTCTGCTCTGATAGGGTTGTCTGTGGGCGCGAAGGAGGAAAGAGCCCGCACTGGGAAGTGAGGATGCGCGGCCGGGAGAATGTTCCATTGCCCGCCCCCCCTCCCCCCCCACACACACTCTACCCAGTGATCGCCACGCTGTGCCTGCCATCACTCCTCTGGGCTCGGAGGGATGTTTTATGTGCCCCTTCCTCATAACGGGGGCGAGGGGCTTGGGGGTGTATGAAAGCATGCAAGTCAGGACCTGCGTGTTCTCATCAGAAAAACAGCAGAAGCTTTCTGGATTCCGCTTTTTAAAATGTAGCGCTGTGCTGTGCACGCAGTTTGCAGAAGTTTCTCTGAGCCGGTCTCCGGCTGTGTCCTGGGGCTACCCCAGTGCAGCCTTCTGAACTCAGTATTTGCTCCTCAATGTAGCAGCTCCCTTCCTGAAAGAAATGGTCAGCACCTGTTTCCCTAGAATTAAGCCTTTAGCCTGCCTGCCTGCCTTCATTCCATTCCATTCCATTCATTTCTTCCTGCCTCCCTCCCTCCATTCCATTCATCCCTTCTGTCATCCACCCATCCATTTCCTTCCTTCTCCCTCCCTCCCTCCATTCGTCCATCCCTTCCATTCATTCATTGTTTCATTCATTCCATTAATGTTTGGTGATTAGCTACAGGGCCAAGCACTGTCGCTGCCCCCAGGGGTTTTATGATGTGATGGAATTTTTAAATAATAGCTCTAGGGCGCCTGGCTGTCTCAGTCCAAAGAGCATGTGACTCTTGATCTCAGGGTCGTGAGTTCGAGCCCCACGTTGGGCATGGAGAGTACCTAAATAAATAAATAAACTTAAGAAAAAATCAAACCATGGCTATATATGGCACGTGCCATGAACCAAGTGTGTGCTTGGCATTTCATCTGTATCTAAAGTATTTTTCACAAGAATTCCGCAAGGTACTTGATAGCTGTCCCCCCCCCACCTTTTTTTTTTTTTTTTTACAAAGGGGGAATTAAGGGTAAGGATTATATAAATGGCCTAGGGTCACACAGCTTGCAAGGGCAGAGCGCGGAGGCCCACTCACGCCTGCTGCTGCGCCCCGACATCCTGCGGTCACCGGTTTTGGAGGCCGGCCAGTCTTGCTGACAGCCGTCCATCGCTTCCTTTGCTCACAGGCATGTGTATGAAACTTGGACGCAGAGTCCGTTTGCTCCGAAGTAGTTCAACGTCTTCATTAAAGACATTTCCCCAAGGGCGCCTGGGTGGCTCAGTTGGTTGGGCGACTGCCTTCGGCTCAGGTCATGATCCGGGAGTCCCGGGATCGAGTCCCGCATCGGGCTCCCTGCTCGGCGGGGAGTCTGCTTCTCCCTGTGACCCTCCTCCCTCTCGTGCTCTCTGTCTCTCATTCTCTCTCTCGCAAATAAATAAATAAAATCTTTAAAAAAAAAAAAAAAAGACATTTCCCCAAGAATGGAGACTGGAGTCAGATCCTGGAGGGCGAGGCGGGGGGGCCCTGGCGGGTGGGAGGGCAGGGGCGGCTGAGCACAGTCCTCTGGTGGGACAGCGGGAGAAGAGACGGAGTGTATCATAGTGATGATACAATGTTAAATGATCTCCATGAAGAAAACTGTTTCAGGCCTCTTGCTGCTTTGCAAACTGACTCTGAGCGGCTGGGTGGGGGTGGGGTGCAGATGGGGGGGACTCTTGGGCCATTTTTGGCATTTGAATATTCCCTGATGTTGGGAAACCATATGTATAATTAAAAAGAAAACAGGGGTGCCTGGGTAGCTCAGTCAGTTGGGCTTTCGACTCTTGGTTTCGGCTCAGGTCATGATCTCAGGGTCGTGGGATCGAGCCCCACGTTGGGCTCCAAGCTAGGTGGGGAGTCTGCTTAGGGTTCTCTCTCTCTCTCTCCCCCCCTCTGCCCCTCCCCTGCTCATGCTCTTTCTTTCAAATAAAGCCTTTAAAAAAAAAAAAAGTTGGGTGGAAAAATAGCTCCTACGCTGAGAGATGCCTTTAAAAAAAATTCTTGGGGCGCCTGGGTGGTTCCGGTTGGTTTAGCATCTGCTTTCAGCTTGGGTTGTGATCCTGGAGTCCCGGGATCAAGCACCCACATCGGGCTCCCTGCTCAAAGGGGAGTCTGCTTCCCTCCGCCTCTGTCCCTCTCCCTGCTTGTGCTGTCTGTCTCAAAAAAAATGCTTTCCCTCTTCCTTTGCCCCTCCCCCCACCTTTCTCTCTCTCCCTCTCTTAAAACAATAGGCCCCAAATGACATCACTTAGGCCAAGTCCCCAAAAGGGGGCTTAATACCTAATCTGCATTGTCGACCTCCCCCTAAAATGTACTTTTATTTTTTAAGCTTTATTTATTTTAGAGAGAGCATGAGCTGGATGGACAGAGGGAGAGTGAATCTCAGGCAGACTCCGTGCTCAGCTCGGAGCCCAATGCAGGGCTCAATCTCATGACCCCAACCAAGATTATGACCTGAGCTAAAACCAAGAATTTAATGTTTAACTGACTGCACCACCCATGCACCCCCCAAAATGTAGTCTTTTTTTTTTAACTTTTTTTTTAAAGATTTTATTTATTCAATTGAGAGAGAGAATACAAGCAGGGGAAGCGGCGGGCAGAGGGAGAGGGAGAAGCAGGCTTCCCGCTGAGCAGGGAGCGCAATGTGGGGCTCCATCCCAGGACGCTGGGATCATGACCTGAGCCAAAGGCAGACGCTTAACGACTGAGCCACCCAGGTGCCCCCCAAAATGTAGTCTTAACTGGTCAGTGGAGTTTTCCGATGGGCACCAATGAGTCTGCCACATGGGCCTCTCCATCTCCCAAAGGAAGCTGTAATGTGCATGGTGAGACTCCCTGTTCTCCCCACTAAGGGAAAGTGATCTTGTCAGGAACAGTCCTTTTACTATTCACTTTCTTTTTTTTTAAGATTATTTATTTATTTATTTATTTATTTATTTATTTATTTATTTATTTATTTATCAGAGACAGTGAGATTAGGAACACAAGCAGGGGGAGTGGGAGAGGGAGAAGCAGGCTTCCGGCTGAGCAGGGAGCCCGATGCGGGGCTCGATCCCAGGACCCTGGGATCATGACCTGAGCTGAAGGCAGACACTTAACGACTGAGCCACCGAGGGGCCCCTACTATTCACTTTCTTGCCCCCATCCTCCTTCCACTGTACAACTGCTGAGAGCCCCCCCACTCCACTTGCTAGATGGGTTACTGCCCGATTCACGAATCATCCGATAAGGCCAATTAGATCTTCACATGTACTCAGTTGAATTTTTTAACCATTATCTTTTAAATTTATGGATAATCCCAAATGCAGAACATTGGGACTGATACCAAGACTTAGATGTTAAGTTTACTTAGGGCTTGATGCAAAAGGAGGGTGGTGTGTGAGGTGACCGCCGATTGGCTGTGATCGGTACGTGCGTGCATCTGGAGATAGAGAGGCTTCTGGTTCGGAGCACCCTGGCCAAGCAAGACCCATCCTCAACCATGACCGGGACTGAGGCCATGCAGCTTCCCAGCCCTGTCTTTGCCGGTCCCAGACCCAGCTCTTGCCTCTGCCCACACCTTGCAAAGACCCCCTAGCAAACCCCCGACAGGCTGCCTGTCCTCATTTTCTTCACAGGAAACCAGCTACTCCAAAAGCCCCTCCACAACCCTCCCAAGTGGTGGCTTTCATTCTCAAACCTCACACACCTCTCAGGGATTTGGGGTTTGGGTCCTCCCTGTACCACTTCCAGATTATTCTCCACCCCTTTTGAAGAAAAGCTTGCCCCATTTTAGGCTCACGCCATCCTACTAAACTGCCTTCACCCCCTACTTGGTATTCTGCTGGCTTCTCAATCATCCCCTGTGAAAGAGACGGCCAGTCGTTCCCCAATATCTGCTTCCTCCTCTACAAATATAACGCTCAAGTATTTTAGCAGGGGTTGTGGTGTGCTCAAAGATGACGTCTCCCAGCTGCCCTTAACAGGTGGGATTATATTCTGACCAACAGGAGAGAAAACAATGAATACAACTTCCAAGTGTTCTTAAAGGAAGGGTGCATGCTTCTCTTCAGCTTTTCTTGCTTCCTGCTGTCTGGGTTGAAGACGTGATGGCTGGAACTCCAGCACCCATATTGGATCATGAGGTAGATTTTGAAATTGGTATCACGTGGTACAGAGTAACAAGGTAGGAGGAGACTGGGTTTCTCGACACTGAAGACTACATATGAGCTCTGGAGGTCTCTCGTGTGAAAGACAAACTTCTGTCTTGTTTAGCCTTACTTTGGTGTTTTCTATCACTTGTAGCCACCCTTCCCAACTCCCCCTCATTCTTCAAGGGCATTGGTTCCTGGTTCATAGTCTTGCTGTCCACCTCAATCTCTCCCATTGTCCTGGATTCACGTCAGTGACCATTTCACACTCTGGACCTTTCTCCAGTGACTTCCTACATTCCACCTTGGCCAACCACCTCCCTTGGGTTTTGTCATCCTCCAGATCCGCTGCTCCTCCAAGCTCGCTGACCCAAGCACCCTACCTGTGACCATAACCTCCCTTCCTTGCACCTTCTTTCTTCATCTTCAGTACTCTGAGATCTCAAAGTCATCAGGACCTCCCACTCAGTAACACCTTCCCCCCAATTCACTTCTTTCTTCCCCACTCATCTGACTTCCAGGCATAACTTATCCAATGCCCTTTAAGTTGACCACATATCTTTTCATCATTCCCATGTGACAAAATCCAACCCATCAGCTTTCTCTGAGAAAGCCAGACAACAGGGCAGACTGTCTCATGAATTCATCCTGACCCACCCATGGGGGAAACATGGAATGGGAATTAGACATCAAAGGCAGTAAGCGGGACCTGAGCTCTAAAAAAAGCCACCTAGAGGCGCCTGGCTGGCTCAGTCAGTTGAGCATCTGACTCTTGATTTCTGCTCAGGTCATGATCTCACGGTCGTGATGGAGCCTGTGTCGGGCTCATGCTGAGCATGCATGGAACCTGCTTGGGATTCTTTCTTTCTCTCTGCCCCCACCCCTGGTGCTCAGGCTTACTCTCTCAAAGACAAAACAAAACAAAACTTCTATGGCAACATCTAAAGCTAATAATCAGGTCCTGTCCTTTTTTCGGGGTTTCATCAGCCAACAGCTCAACACTGCAAGCTCCGAACACCCTTTCCGGCCAAGGTCACTGCTGTGATGGATTCTCGGCATCGCAATCTTACATTGAGCTATGTGTTCCTCTGATCAACAATCTGTCTCCTCAGTTGAGTGTAAGCTCCATGGGAGTGGGAACTCCATCTCCGTCCTCCCCTGTGTCCTCCCACCTGGCACGGCACCTGTCACCCACTAGGAACACATGAATAAATACAAATGTTGACATTGGTAAAGATAGATACACTCGGGGTTGTTTTTGTTTTTGTTTTTTTTTTCTCTTTAATAGAAGCGTGAACTTAGTCTCGTTTCCAGTGGCTTGGCTTTGCAGGCTCTCTAAGCATTTCCTCCTTTTACTTCCCTTCTCTAGTGGTTCAAAGTTACAAGCTCTTGTCATCACATCAAATGAGGGACACTGTGTGTCTGTGTTGAGGTGAGGGTAGAGGGACACGAGAACAGTAAGCCTTACTTTTTTCTCAGTTTAACACCTGCCTGGCAGCCCCCAGGGTCCCGGGGGTGGGGCAAGCCTATTTCCCCACCTCCTGCTCTATTCAAGACCCCGGGGTGGAAATCAAAGAAATTTCAGCCTGTCCTTGGACACGTGGGGGCAGCACCCAGATGGTGGAGCCCCGTGTACTGCTGGGGTGGGCCTTGGGTTGGAGTCCTGTCTCAGGCTTCAGGAAAGACCATCCTGTGTGAGCAGCCCACTAGGAGTGCCTGAGATGGTGAGTCATTTCCCCCTGAGAAGGGGTGGGTCTGTGCAGCTTTGTCTGCTGGAGGAGAAGCTTGTGGCCACAGAATGGGACAAAGGGTGTGAAACAGCCCTGCTGGATCTCTCATTCAGGTAAGAGAATGGTCAAGGGCTTCCTCCTAGGAGGGAGGGAGACAGAGTCGAAATGAGCCATCTCCACGAAGGATCTTTCAGGGGAGGCTAGGGTACCGTGGGAGCTCTCCGCAGGGAGTGGGGCCCCAGCTTTCAGGCTCAGGGAGGGGGTCCCAGGGTAAACTGAGGCCTGAGGGAGGGAGGAATAGCAGCTTGTTCCAGGGAAGTGGGGAGGACAGCTGAGGAAAATAACTGTCCTTGCAAAGCCTCCCAGGCGAGCACCATGGTGACTTAAGGACCTGAACAAAGATGAGAACCTGGAACATTATCTACAGGGGGGAGAGAGGACGGGCACAGTGAAAGACCTAACAACGCGTGTTAGGGATTCTGGACTTCATCCCAAGAGCAATGGGGGATCTCTCTAGAAGGGCTCTATATAGGGATGGAGACATGACCACTGGAGCCCACAGAAGAGGATGTGGGGAGTCCAGTAAGCGCTCTCCAGGCAGGAAATGCTGGCCCAGACTGGGGTGGTGGAAACGTAGATGGAGAGAAATGGAACGATCCCAGAGACGCTAGGGGACAGAATCGCCGGGAACTGGATGTGGGGGGTGGGGGGACGAGGAGAGAGCGGAGCCAATGGTGAAGCCCAGACGTCCTGCTTGGACCACCGGGTAGGCGATGATCTCATTATTTGTGGTTGGAACACAGGGGATGGCGCCCATTTGGGAGGAGGATGACCTGCTCTGCTCTGGAGGTGCCGAGTCTGAGGCATTAGTGGGATGAATGAACGGAGGTATCCAGCAGGCAGGCAGGAGAGATCTGGGATGGAGATGACTGGGGAGTCCCTGGGTGTATGTACGGAAAAGGTCATCTAGGAGGTTAGGGTCCTGCTAACCCGTGTTTAAGGGGTTGGCGGAAAAACAGGAGGCTGAGTGGCTGGCTTCCCAGGGCCTGAGTCACTGGAGTATCCTGGGACACCCCTGGGAAGGAGCCAGCCCAAGTCCTTCACCACGGAGTCCTAGCTCTGCTGACCCCGTCTTCACCCCGAGACAAACTCTTCCGGCATCAGGATCCTTTCCCCACCGAGCGCACGCAGCCCTCCCCACTCCCAAACACTTCCCCTACGGCCGGTTACAAGGACATGACCTTAGCCAAATAAAGCAGACAGAGGAAAAGAACCAAGTTATGCGGCACTTTGGGGGGGCTGGGGCCCCGCGGACTCCCAAGGGCACCTCCTAGGAGAATGTGATGTACCTCACCCTCCCCATGAGGCTCCATCAGATGCTGAGAGCTGCGACAGTGGGACCCCTCCCCACTCCCCCTCGCTCAGATGCAGGCCAGGCCACCCGGGGGATGTCTGCCACCTCTCCCAATTCACCTCGTCCAAAGGGCCTCCTCCTCCCACTTCTGGAATACACGATGTGAGGTGCAGCAGGGCAGGGGTCCGTCGAGAGGTCAAAAGTGAGGGTTTTGCCAGGACCGAGCATTCTGAGGCCGTGTGCCCTTTGGCAGCTCCAGGCAGAGGGTCCTCAGGAAGGAACGTGACCGAGCACGGTCCCGTGGCGTGGTTGTCTCTGGGTCACTGGCTTGGACAATCCCACACCCAGAAGGAGGAATGGCAGGAGCAGAGGTGCTGGACTCCACCGCTGGGAAGTGGGGGGAGCTGGCACCCAGTCTGGTGATGTAGGTGCAACCACAGAGGCCCTCTCTCCTCTCCGCCCCACCCACAACCAAGCCCTTCTCCGCCCCATTTTTGTCATTGGCGTCGCCATTGTTCTTGGCCCGGCCTCCATCTGGGATGCTACACTTTGCGGATCACCCAGATTATGGCTTCTCTTCTTTATTGCTTTTCTGGCTTCATCTCTCCCTCTCCTGTCTCTTCCAGCTTCGCCCAGACCCTCATCCCCCTGAATGCGGGATATTACAGACTTCTTCTGTTTCACCCTAACTGGTCTAACGCCAACCGGGGGAAGCATTGGATGCCACGAGTTACCAGGTGTTTTCCACAAGACCACCCTCATTTCAGATGCCAGCCATAAATCTCATGGGTCCCCAAGTCACCCACATTTCTGGCCAACCGGATCTAAATTCCAGGGTTCCTGCATGCCCAGAGGTTCAATAAGTCACTGGAACAACTCGCAGAACTCAGGAAAGTGCTAGACTTAGGATTGCTGTTTCACTGTAAGGACAGACAAACGTTAAGTTCTGGAAGGGCCCTAGAAGCAGAGCTTCCAAGCCCAGGCCCCCAGTAGACAGGTGTGTCACCTCCTGGCATATCAGTGTATTTACGATCCAAGAAGTTCCCCTGAGCCTCAATATCCAGCATTTTTATTGGGGTTTGGGGTAAGGGTTGATGTCAAGTGGCTCAAAGCACCAACCCTCTCAGTCACATGGTTGGTCTCTGTGGTGTGGCCTACCTTCATCCCGATTCTTCTCTTTACATCAACTGTCAACTAGTCATCTCATTAGTGTAAACTATCAGGGCCCACCAAGAACAGCAAAGAGCACCTGTCACTTGGAAAATCCCAAGGATTTAGAGTTTCCCTCTTAGGAACCAGGAACGAGGGCCAGTCAAATTCTTTATGGTACCACATCTCTTGACTGGTCTTGACTGGTAAATAACCTCTTGTCTCTTAAGTAATATCCATTCAATAAATATTTATAGGCCAGCCCCCCCCCCCCCCGCCACCCCGCACAACTCAGGGAGAAGCTAAAGGTGAACAATGGGTAGGGTCCTTGCCCTCCTGGTGCTTATAATCTACTGGAGATTAGAGCATTACAACATAGTGGGGTGCCTGCGATCGGGACAGGAAAGCCAAGAGCCCCAGGCCCCCTCAGAAGGAGTGGTGAACCCTGGCAATGGGTTAGCCAGGGAAGAGGGGGAGAAAGAAAGTTCTAGGTGGATGGCACAGGTGTAAAATCTGAGAGGCACAAAGGAGGGTGACCCAGTCGAGGGGCTGAGGGAAGTTCAGAGTACCTTGCATCTAGAGGGGAGAATGGGAGATACGGGGCTGGAAAGTTCCGTGTGTGGGGGTGCTGGGTGACAGCTATAGAATCATCCCCAATACGAGGACACACTGTTCTTCCTCAAACACCGCATTCACGATACCAGGCCTTTGTTTAGAAACCTACTGTGGCTACCACTGAGCTTCCCCTAGGACCTGGTGTAGGGCCAGGACACGTAATTCATAGCCGGGTTTCTTAAGCTCCAATCAATCAGCTTGGATGGGAAAAAGTTACGCTTATTTCCAATGACCTCTTTTTTATAAAATCTTTTTTTTAAAAGATTTTTATTTATTTATTTGTGAGAGAGAATGAGAGAGAGAGAGAGAGCATGAGATGGGGGAGGGTCAGAGGGAGAAGCAGACTCCCCGCTGAGCGGGGAGCCCAATGCGGGACTCGATGCGGGACTCGATCCAGGGACTCCAGGATCATGACCTGAGCCGAAAGCAGTCGCTTAACCAACTGAGCCACCCAGGCGCCCTCCAATGACCTCTTATTTGAAATTTAGCATCTCTTGTTATTGCGACTGTAGATACCAGAGCACGGTAGCGTGAGCAACACCAGAGACTGTGTTACTTTATACTTATCAGACCTGACACTAGACCTCGTTAACGTGATGACAAAGGAGCACGTTTGTGCTCAAACAAAAATCTGGGGTTTTAACTTTGATTATTGTTTTTAAATATTTTCACTCCCTGGGGCGCCTGGGTGGCTCCATCAGTGAAGCGTCTGCCTTCGGCTCAGGTCATGATCCCGGGGTCCTGGGATCGAGCCCCATGTCGGGCTCCCTGCTCCGCGGGGAGCCTGCTTCTCCCTCTCCCCCCGCTGTTCTCCCTGCTTGTGCTCTCTCACTCTCTCTCAAAAAAATAAATAAAATCTTAAAACTTTTTTTCATTTCCTTTGTATCCCTACATATTTTATTTTATGAATTTGAAAACATTATTCCGAGTAGGGGTCTGTGGGCCTCGCCAAGCTGCCAAGGGGATGCGTGGTAGAAAAAAGGTTCAAAACCTCTGCTTAACAGAAGTATGTGTCGTCCCAATTCTTCCCAAATTGATGCTTGAGTTTGGGTGTATTGAGCCATCTCCCCGGTGCAAGTCCATCCCTTCTACCTCCTGGTGCCTTCCCAGGTGCTCTGGGACACTTGTCCCCAGAGAAACCAGCAGCATCAACGGCCTGCAGGGCATTGGATAAGGGAATGTCCCAGGGGGATGGAATCCCATCAGTTGTAGGTCTATTTCAACCAGTGAGCTGAGAGGGGGACAAACCCTCACACCCCCTTGAGAAAAATGGCTTGGGCCACTTGGGCCTACTGAGATTTGTCCCATGACACCCATTATCCTAGCCACAGCCAGCTGGACCGAGGATCTCACTCGGATCTGGCTACTGGCCCGGGAAGTGGCCAGGCAGG